TGGCTAATGGATGCATGCTGAAAGAAATGTTTTAGGGAGATTGAGCTGACGTCCTTCTATGGAATGCTGGGGAGGAGAGAAAGACTGGAAGCAAAGGCATGCGTTAAGAGACGCTTGCAATCATCACAGCACGAGGTAATGAGAGCGTAAGCGGGTGATGGGAGTGGAATGAGAACCAGGGGAGGACCTGAAAGACACAGAAAAGGCTTCTCTCGGCAGGGCTGTCTTGCTGTCAGTGAGATATCATCTTGACCTATTTCTACACATGCTGGTATCAATCATGATCCCCAGATATTTTTACCCATGCCCCAAACTGCACAGAAGACATAATTAGCAATCCTTTTGACTCATCTAGGGCCTCTGGGAGTGAATCATACCCTCCACCACCCAATTATCTACCATAAACATAGTTCAACCTCCAACTATTCTAAGCAATGGTTCTTTATAACGTCCGTTCAAGGACTGGTTTCTCCATTAACATTGGACTAAGCCCAACCTCTTTAACTTATCTTTTAAGAATCCCCCGTATTTTTCTCCTCCACCAAAGATAATCAATCTTAATGCACATTCTTCTGTAATGTAACAGTAAACAGCCTTGCAGAGACAGATTATAATCTTTATTTATCCTGAGCATACTAAGATCAAAGCAACACTTGACTTCATAGTTTCTTTTAAGATGTTACAGAAGTACAATGCCCTCCTCAGTTAGAAGAACTGGTTGATTTCTCTGTTCAAGAACAGCAATGCATAGGAAGTTACATTACCGGCTGTCAGGAGTTAGGAAGATAATCACAGAGAGCTGTTGGTGAGAAAAGTCAATGTGGCCTGGGCAGGCAATAGACAGGCATGGGGTGAGAAGTGTGAGCTGCAGAGCAGGGAAGAGTGCAGATCACATGAAGCCACAGTCAATGTGCACAAGGTCAAGCAAGGGAGCTGACAACTGTTCCCGAAAGGGCCATGTGCAGCATGAAAACACTGCAGACTTAAGAGGCTACATGTACAACCATGATCATTTAAGCTTATGATGGCATTCAGCATGGTGGCAAAAGTCTATAATACCAGTATTCAGGAGACTCAGACAGTAGAATTACCTTTAGGAATGTGCCATATTTTTAATTTTGGGGGTGTATTTTTGTTTATGGATGTTTTGCCTGTATGTATGTCTGGGTACCACATGTATGCTGTGCCTGCAGAGGTCGGAAAGATTGACACTATAGATCGTGCAGGTGCTGCAAATTGAACCCAGGTCCTTTGCAAGAGCACCCAGTGCTCTTAATCACCGATCTCACTCCGGTCCCCAGATCTGTCGGATTTTTAAGTAGCACATGAATGTACACACTGGAAACTGTTGCATCCTCTCCACCCCACCCCAGCCACTAAGGTCAACTCCAACCCAGCCCTTCTACTACCAGCCTCATAAACACACACTGAATGTAGCCATCTCTACATTTTACCCCTCACCCTTCCTCTGCATGCAGCCCAGTGGTAAAGAACCATCTGGCACTGTTGTAGAATCTACCTAGTCTTGCCAGCGGTGGAGGCTAAGGGTCCCCTTGGTAGTCTTTTCTGCCATATCACTTTTGTCCTTCCTCCAGAAAAAGCCCCAAGTAAGTGAGTGGAGAACAATATTTTCAAACCATCCATGGTACCATTCTGTTTCTCTCCAATTATCAGTTTAAAACAGACTGGGTGTTGCAGCTGAAGAAGCAGCAGTTCCTTATTTGGGGACTGGTTTATAAACTGCATGGTTGAAAATATATCCCAGCTCAGGACTTTTTCTATAGCTGGGGATGAAAAAATGAACAAAGCCAGGGCCCCAAAAGACCAATATAGTCAGCAGCTGCCAGAGACAGTTTCATACTTAGCATGGTTAGCTGGCTAGAGATCGGGTCTATTAAAAGACTTTGTTTCCTCTGCAAAAGAAAAGTTTGAGTACACTAATTTTTAACTGGGAGCTTTAAGGGGCTGGACTTGTAAAATAAAAACAAACTAATTACAAAGCAGTTTTCCAAACAAGGTCAAAGATTTCCACCTTAAAGTAAAATCTGTAAATCTAACCAGACTTTTGTTTTGAAAAAGGAATTAGAGCAAAAGAGCAATAGACTGTCCGCATGTCACCCCAGACTCAGAAATGGGTGCCCTGCCATCTCATCAGTGCCGTTCATATCCATTCCCCATACGTCCGTTAACTTAATGTCTAGTGTGTGCTGGACACTGTTTGCTAGGTGCTGGGAAAACAAAGAAATGAAGACCTCCTCGACTATGAGGCTGCCAAAATGTAGGGAAAGGATGTTTTAAATGTCTTGAGTGATGTAACAGGAGTACGCACCTATCCTGGGCTTGGGGCCATGACTGAGTAGTAGATACTGACTCCACTAAGTAGGTGGTGGAGCTATGCAACTTAGACAGCTTGAAGCAGATAAAGAAGAGGTTTCTGGAAAGTGAGACTAAGCTATAAGATAAGCTATCCACTGTGTCTCAACTTGTCCTAGAAATTCACTCAATCACCAAAAGTCAGAAACAAGCCACACATCTGTAATCCAGAACGACATGATACAAGTCAAGAACTAGTAAATCTAGCAGCTGTGTGAATAAACCTGAGGAAATATATCAGCTGAGATATGAAAAGGCAGGAAGTCTCAGATTAATATGGGTTAGTGATCTGGAATCATGGGCAGGCAGTCAAGCTCATTTGTGATGACGGGGCAGGAGTAAGCCAAATCTTAAGGAAGACAAATTCCCATGCATCAAGAGTGCACCATGTGCCAGGCATTTGGCTAATCACTTCCTGTAAGTCATCCCATTTCATTTTCCATGTGAAACTGAGAGGGTTGTTTACAGATGGGAAACTGAGCCTCGGTGCCCTAAATCACAGTGATGTCACTGGCAGGGTCGGAACACAATCAGTGAGGCCTGGCTTACAGGTCCATGCACAGTCCGTCCACTGACTTCCATGCTAGGCTGGCATGTTAGAAAGGTTTCAACACCTGGGAGAAAATGAGAAAGTTCTGACTTCACATTAGAACATACTGGCTGGGACGGAGCAAGCAAAGACTAGGGCTGGATAATAGCAACCCAAGTGGCTTCCTTTAACTTGTCAAATTAGATTTGGTGCGGCAGTTTTCACTATTGTCTTTACTTTTTATTTCATTAACCCTTCAAAATGGCCACTGTTGTACACTGTTGGCACCTTTGATGTGGGCATCAAATTGCTACACACCCAAATTAAGGTTCTAGTGACTGAGGCCAGTTCAGAGGTGGAACAAGAGGATAATTAAGTTTACTCAGCAGGGGTGAGGAAGAATTGAGGATCCCAGGCTACAGAATGAAGTCAAGTTTTCTGCCAGGATGAAATCCTTTCTACTACCAAAAGAACAACCAGCCCTGAGGTCCTGTTCCACATCTGCCACAGAGAAGACAGTTGGGGCCCTGGTCCCAGGTGGGATCATAGCTATCAGTCAAATGTTTTTTAAGAACAAAATTCAAAGGAAACATATAGTAAATACCAATTGTTACAGTGGCTTTGTCTGGGAAATCTGAAGAAAATCATTGTCAGAAGTCTGGATCAGATATTATTTAATAGAAATGAAAGACCAGGAGCTCAGGAGGAGTGGACAAACAGGGACAAGCCCTTGAAAAGTGTCTGCCAGATTTGCAAGATTAAAAAACTTCCAAAGATAAATAATGGTTGTTGCATGGTAACACACATATAAGACTCAACAGCACTGACCCAGATTTGTTAAGATACTACCATTGTGCAGATTTTACTTCAATTAAAAACCAAATTTTAGGGGCTGAATAGACAGCTCATCAGCTAAGAGTGCTTTCTGCTCTTCAAGAGGTCCAGAGTTCCATTCCCAGCACCCATATCAGGTTGATCACAACTGCCTCACTCTCCAGCTACAGGGGATCTAATACCTTCTTCTGGACTCTGAGGGCACCCACCCATATGTGGCATACATACACACATGTCTATTCATAACAAATAAGTCTTAATAAATAAATGCAAAGCTCACTTAGCTGTAAAAATGGAGCTCTGTAAGGATGAGCATGTACACATATTCTATATTTCCTTCTTTTCTTTAGACACAGGGTTTCACTGTGTAGCCATGAGTGGCCTGGAACTCACTGCACAGTGCAGAGGTCAGAAAACATCTTATAGGAATCTTTTCTCTGACTTCAAACTCAGGTAGTCAGGCTTGGCATGAAGTGCCTTTAGCCACTAAACCAACTGTCTCAAGGGACTCCATATAGCCAGGCATGTGGTATTTAGGGTAAATATAATATTGTCAAAAATGTATCATTTTCAGCCCCTTGCCCTAGCCTCTTTGAGGATGGAATTCTGTTGCATCGTGTTCACAGTGATTATACTCAGCACCCTTCGCTGCTTAGTGTTAGAAGTGTTTCCCTCTCCGGCTCCAAAAGTGCCCACTTAAGACTGACAAAGGCTTTCCTGGGAGAGTCAAAGGTGCTATGTTTAAGTCTATCGACTGAAAAGTCACGCTAAATCTAATTTGACTCCGCAATTATCATCAGACACCCTTCTCACTTGCTGCCTATTCTTAATCTAGTTTGTCTGATATATTCCACCCAGTACCTATCACCCTTCTTTTATTTTAATTTCATGAGGGTTGGGGTGTGATGTTAGAGGCCAGAAGAGGGCGCTGGATCCCCTGGAGCTGGAGTTCTAGGTGGCCTTAAGTTTCCGGAATCCAACTGTGGTCCTCTGGAAGGGCAGCAAGCACTGGGCCATCCCTACAGCCCGTTTCTTGTACCACGGTGGTGCCCTGACCTGTTTGGACAGTATACCAGCTAACTCATATCCTTTGCCTTGGAACTTGTCACCCGAGCCGAGAGTCACCTCAAAAACACTCTGGAACGTCGAGGAAGCAGCCACACCTAGCAACACACGCGCAGAGCACGGTGGAGGCTGATGAGCTCTCGCGAGAGCCCAACTCTGTTCTCGGGCAAGATAAGGTGTGGGTGGGGCGCGGCGCTCGGGCGCTTCCGCAAAGATGGCGGCGGCAGCGGGAAGAAGCGCTCGGCTGGCGGCCTGGGGCGGAAGGCTGAGGCGCGGGCTCGCGGCCGGCCGACGAGCTGTGCCGAGTCGCGGCCCTCTGGCAGCGGCTGTAGCCGGCGTGGCCCTGGCAGGCGCAGGAGCGGCATGGCACCACGGCCTCGTGAAAGCAGCTGCGCGCGAGGGCACCCTTACGGTGTTGGCGCAGGTACGGCTCAGCCCAGCCCCGCCCTCAGACGCCCCTGGGAGGGAGGCGGAGGCACCGGAGACCCCAGGCCGCTGGCGCGAGCCCGGAGGACCTAGGGAGAAGGTGGCGGGAGGGCCTGCCGGGGACGCGTGTGGGCGTGGCTCGGGGCACGCCTCTGCCCACCTGGTGGAGAAGAGACCTTGAGATCGGCGGGTGCTGGGCACCCCTGCCTCCCCAGGAGGCATCTTAGCCTTCAGTGTTAAAGGGTTCCCTGGTCGCTTCTTTGTTGAGAAGGGTGGAGTCGACCTACTGTGTGATCCACACCTCCCAAGGCTAGAAAATATCAACTGTAAAAATTAAACAGTTGATAGTTGCAGATTTTATCAGTTCTAATGATTACTGTTACAGAAGTCGAAACCTTAAGGTTTTAGTGGACTCCACCCGCTCAGCAAAACAAGTTTTTCTGAGGCTGTTAGGCTGTTAGGATGCGAATGTTAATTAAGTACCCTACTTCAAGATAAACACTGTCTTGTAAAACATTGGAAAGTTTGTACTCCCTAAGATTTTTATAGAGAAAGACATTTCAGTGTTTTGGTTTTTAGGTTTTTTTTTTTTTTAATTAAAGCAGTATTTTATGTTCCTTATTTGTTAGGTTTCTATTACCTAGTTCTAGTGGAAAAACTCAAGAAACATTAAAATACAACAAAAAGAAAAGCATACCCTACAGATTAAAGGTTGGTAAATGTTGTTTGATCATTGACATATAACACTTTATACAAACATTGACTCCAACCTCACACCACATCTGATTAGAGGTAGAAAAAAACTTCTCATGCATTATAGACTTTTTAAAAACTTTTTCTGATTTATTTTCATTTTATATGTATAAGTATTTTACCTGAGTGTATGTGTGTACACTGAATGCAAACCTGATGCCCAGTTACCTTAAGACTGCATTGGGCCCCTGGAGCTAGAGTTACAGGTGATCCTAAGAGACCACATGAGTGCTGGGAACTGAACCTGGGCCCTCTTAGAAGAGCAGCAAGTGCCCTTAACCACTGAGCCATCTCTTCAGCTCTGACACTTTTGTTAATCCTATGTCAGACAAATTTATTGTTCATTATTGGTTTTTCTGTTTGCCTATTCAATTCCATCCTATTCAGAACCTTAGGTTAGTCTTTCATGTGGTATTTTACTTTAACATCAGAAACTACCTAAGAAATAAATTCCTTTTTTTTTTTTTTTTTTTTGCTGGTGCTGAGTTTCCAATATAGTAGGCAAGTGCTCTCCTACTGAGCGACATCCCAGCCCTCCACATTTTAAAACTTTCTGACACAGAGCCACCTTAGTCACATTCCGTGACCTGTTATTAACTGAAGAACTTCAGCCAGTGACTCACTCACTATCTAGGAACCAAGTTTAATTCCCACCCACAGTTTTTACGCTGATTTCACTTCACCTCCTCTGAGTTTTAGGATTTTTCTCTGGTTTTGTTTGTTTTCTGGCTCCCTTCTTAGTCTGTTTTCCCTTTAAATTCGTAGCTTCAGTTTATCGTTCACACCAGTGTTGTATTTTGATTCTTTCCCTAACTTAGCCTGTCATTCTCTACAACTGTGTAGCCTTTCACCTAACTAAAGAAACACAGACTCATATCAATTGTTTTATAAGTTCCGTTGACACAGGTTGGCCTGGTCGGCTCTTTGGACTAATTGAAAACCTGGGTTTATGCTTTTACTGCTACAGTAAATGTTCCTTCCTCATTCAGTGTTGCTGTATTTTGAAAACTCCCCCTCTAGGGCAGGAATTAGAATGTATTTCCTAAAAGGGGGTACCTATTAATCCTTCTCCACCATTTGGTCACATGACTGCATACAGCTTTATTTTATATCTATTTTACTGCGTATATGTGGATCTAGTATAATAATGAGAATAGCCTTCATTTTCACCCATCACACTAAATGATGTTTCTGATGTTCCAGAAATGGAGAACTTGTGTTAAGGGTGCCCTACTCCTTCTGTTTTCTCTTGTGACCAACAGCTTCTGGTTTGTGCCAGTCAACAGTAGAAATCCAGGTCATAAAGCAGCTGACAGGTGGTAACCTTCTTTCCTTCATAATTATCGAAATCTTGTGTACCAAGGCTGTGTGCGAGGAGTGGGGTTAGGAAGGCAGCTTGCTTCAGTCTGACAGCAGACAGCAGTTTTAATGCAGTGTTGTAAAAGCTGGCTGCCCTTGGAGGGTCCTAGAAGAACACCTAGCACACTCCTGGTTTCCTGAAGGGATGAGAAATAAATGGTCATCCTGGAGCTGCTTGGGAATCATTTGGCAGAAAAGGAGTGTAGGTAATTGGAATATCTGCTCAGAAATCTACAAGAAAGTTTAACTCAGCAAAAGCCTGAGCTACAAGACGGGTGTGTGCAGTGACCTGGAATGCCATTAATCACCTAAGCCATATATATAAGCAGGACTTTATCTTAAGGACTATAGGAAGCTTTTGCAGGAGTTCTGTCTTAGACACCCACAGTACCCCACGTCTACCCCCAGCACCACAGGAAGCAAGCATCTTAGGTAGAAGTTACTTTGTTTCCAGTACCCAGGGATTTAAACTTATCTAATTAGGAGTGCAAACAAGGCACACTAGACCAGCTGCTTAATTGTGGGTGGTGCCCTCATACTGGCCTGCATATGACACCATAACTGGATGGAGGATTGTGTGAGGGGGGAGGGGAGGGGGGAGAGGGAGGAGAGGGAAAGGGGGAGAAGGAGGGGGAGAAGGGGAGAGGGAGAGGGGGAAGAGAGAGGGAGAGGGGGAGAAGGAGAGGGAGAGAGAGAGGGTGAAAGGAAGGAAAGAGAGAAAGGAAAGAAAAGAAAAAGCCAAGAATAAAAGGTTTCTAAACTCCAAAAGGGGAAAAAATCAAACAAAACCACACTGAATCTCAGGTGTTTGTAGTAGTACTCAGTGGTATTACATGTGACTTCACTGGAACCTTGTTCTAAACAGACAATATCCACGATCTGAACACTTTGGCTTTGATTCCAGACAAATGTGTATAATGCATTGCAGTGGGTTTTTTTTTTATTGTACATACAAAGATTTCTGCTCTTACAGAAACATAATGGTTTAAGAACAAAAAAAAAACCTGTGTTTCTACCACCATTTTTCAGTGTGTATCAAATTACTATATCTGTCATATATGTGTTTAAATATTTGATTTGAAAATTTTAAGTTACTGATCTTAGAAAGTCATTACATAAATCTTGCTTGGAATTAGGACATAATTTCCAACAATTTCTGAAGCATCCCTAAATAGTTATATGTCTTTATTTATATTATGTATTTGCATTGATAACTAAAAATGCAAAATATCAGTCAACTTCAGAAAAACATTGAAAATACACTACATCCTGCAGGGTCAGATATCCAGCCTTGATTTAAACAGCACATCTATCCTATTAAGTACTTTTAATTTTTTATTCCATTTATTTGTGTTCATATGTGTGGGTCCAAATGCTCTGCATGTATGGAAGTCTGTTGTAGTCTGTTCTTTCCTTCACCATGTGAGTCTAATGATCAAAACTCCGATCTTCAGTCTGAGTAGCAAGCTCCTTTACCCACCGAGCATCTCAAAGGTCCATTGTATTAAATTCTTTTTCTTGTTTTCTCTCTCTCTCTCTCTCTCTCTCTCTCTCTCTCTCTCTCTCTCTCTGTGTGTGTGTGTGTGTGTGTGTGTGTGTGTGTGTGTGTGTGTGTAGTGTGCATTATTGTGTACATGTGTTTATAGGCATGTATGTGGAGGTATGAGATGATCTCAGGAATCTTCCTCAGTCACTCTTGCACCTTATTCTTTGAGGCAAGATCTTTCAGTGAAACCTAGAGCTTGTTCTGTCTGGTATTGCTAGCCAGATTGCTCTTAGAAACCCTTCTGGCTTTCTAACTGGAAGTACAGGCAGGCCACCACACCCAACTGACCTGGCATTTATGGCATTTGCATGGACTCTGAGGATCTGATCTGTGATCCTCTTGCTTGCTGAAAGTACTTCTAACAACTCAGCTATCTTCCCATCCCTACCCAAAAATTTGCTTTCCTCTTTAAAAAATAGTAAAAATGTATAAAAAACAGTTGTTATAAGACACTTTGATAACTTATATAACTTATTGTCAGTAGGTGGTTTATATACCTGTTTTACATACATCTATACCTAGGGTCTTATAAAAAAATTTCAATGCAAAGGGGATCTGGACTGGAAACGTTTAAGAAGCCTGTCAGGCTTCTTTTTACAGTATCCAACTCAGTCATGAATAGAAGTGTTACTTTCCTATTATAAGTGTTACAGCATCTCTAAGTATCATTTTGCCCACTAATTCGTATTAATGCCCACTATCTTCTCAAGCTTTACATTATTTGGTTGCCTCTGTGGGAAAAATATCAAGACCTTAGAAAAATGAGTGAACTGAAAATGAGTTACAGAGTTCTCACAGTATTTGGGAAATGGTGACACCTTAATCAGGAGACTGAGTTACACAAGAAGCTGAACAGAATCTGAACTGCATGTGTCTTATGTAAGTTTGATTGTGCTGCTTCAGAACATACAGTGAGTACAGTAGGGTAACAGTGCTGCCTCTTGCCAGAAGTTTGTAGTAGAATTTGCTTTAAGGTTCTTCAGTAAGTGAATTGCTTCTAAATTTTGTCAGGTTATATAGAATATTAGATACTAGACATTTCCTTGTCTTCACTTCAGTTTGTTTTGTTTTGTTTTGTTTTGTTTTGTTTTCAATGAAAAGAATTGTCTTCTGCTATTTAAATAATCAAATTATTTGGTTTAACAGTGGACATTACTGCATTTCTGTATTCTAAGTAAAGGTAGTCCACATCCCTTATTATATAAATTCGTTAGTGTTTTATTCCCCTTACTATATTTAGTTGTATTTGTATTTGTGAATCCTTACAAACTTCTGCTCCATTAGTCAGGTTTTTCTTTTCTTCCCTTTGGAATTATTCTCTGTATGTATTTTGTCTTCTA